ACAGGTTGCAGAGGGAACATGATCCTGCTCCACTTTAATTTCAGACTTGTGGCCTCCGGAACTGTGAGACAGGACATTTCTACTGCTATAGCCTGTTTTTGGTACTTTCTTCCAGCAGCCCTGGAAAATGAATATATCTATTCTACTGTTCTATTCTATGCTGTTCTATTGTGTTCTATCGTGTTTTGTTAAAAAAAAACTGACACCCCAGTCTACTGATTCTGAATGACGTCAGCCCCAGAGCTCAGTAAGCAAGTCGTTTCCAAGCTAACTTGAATCTGACTTCATACTCTCAGCTTGGTTACCCCTGGACTCATTGCACACATGCCCAGTAGTCTGAACAGAGGCTCTTTCCCAGAACACAACAACATGTTGTACAGGCGGATGCGCTTTGCTTGTGCTGCGAGTGTCCCCCTCTCTGACTATTCATATTTTAATGCTTAGTTTCATGTCACCTTCTCTGGCAGGATTCCCCTAGCTCTTTGGGAAGAGTTCTTTGGTCCCATTATCTGTTTCCACCATACGCTTTATTGGCCCCAATTACAGCACTTATCAGATTGTATAATGGGATCAACACGTCTCCTTTATTCCAGCCTTCCAACTGAACTGGTCTCTCTTTTTTTTAAGAGTTATTTATTTAATTTACTATTATTATTTCATTTTTTACAGGGCATGCACGTTCATCAGAGAGAGAGAGAGAGAGAGAGAGAGATAGGGAAAATGAGAAAGCCAGTTGCCAGGTCCAGGGCTTGAACCAAAGTCAGTCACATGGGAATCCAGGGCCTAAACCACCACACCACCTGCGCACCCCAAACTGAACTGTTTTTTACTGCTTCTCCCCTTTTTTAACTTAAAGTTAAGTGTCTTGCCTAGAACCTGACACATGACATATTCGAATACAGGGCGTCCTAAATACGTTAGCACAATGTTAAGCATTAATAAATTGAATGCTCAAACTTACAAGACTGGCATTCGGAAGTTTGCTTTTTTTGCCTCTAGATTTTAATCATTTTAATAAGCATAATTTTCTCCTTTAGTCAATGTATGCCATTTTTCACTCGAGGGAACTGAAGCACAAATGAAAATTACAAAATGTGTTATTCAACATTCACAAAATTAAATGGTGTAAAATTAATTTAAGCTTTCAAATGATGCTTTCGTGTGTGGTGGCATTTATAGCTCAGAAGTTTTTAACTGCAGAAAGACTTCTGGGACACCCAGTTTTTAGCAACTTTGTGAACGTACAGCTCATTCTGTATTTATTACAAAATTCCATTTGTTTTCATTTGAGTGGCTCCACGTTGGGCACAGGTATTCCTTGGCCAGTAACGCTCCTTGTACCTAGTTAGTACAGAATCATCCCTTTCTGCCCTTCCTATGTTTAGCCACCCCCAAATTCTCTCAATGCATCTAAATATCTAACCTGAACTAACTTTTCTGTAGAAAAAGGCTCATCTAGTGGGCTGACAAGCATTATTCCAAAATTCATGTTCACCGGAACCTCACAGTATGACCATTTTGGAAACAGGGTCTTTGCAGCCACAATTAGTTAAAATGAGGCCATACTGGGTTAGGATGGGCCCTAAACCCAATGACTGGTGTCCCGAGATGATGAGGAAAGAAGATGCAGAGACACACACGCAGGAAAAGGATACCTGGAGATGGAAGCAGGACCCTTACACAGGGGCCACACTTGGCCCCTACCTTACTTGTTTTTAAAAGTTTATTTAGTTTATTTCTTGAAAAAGAGAAAACCGATCATGGGGGCAATTCTCACCCCAGCCTTCCAACTCAGCCAGGATTATGCCCCTGTGTGTTTTAGGACGACCTGGTTTTGAATCCTGGTCTTCTTTTTTTTTTTTTTCTTTCCTATACGGCACATGCACTCGCCAGACAGACAGAGAGAGATAGAAGACAGAAAGCGAGAAATCACCCCCCAGGGGGATGGCCACGTCGCAATCCCTTCTCCTCCATTCTCCTCTCAGGATCTTGGGCACACACACACACATGCGCCCTGCATTAGTTTTAAGCCACTTGGTCTGGGACTCGAACCGTGGTTGACTATGTGGGAGCCCAGCGACATAGCCATTACGCTGACTGCTGGCCCCAAATCCTGGTCTTCTATATGGCCCCAACACTGCAGTGCAGTGCCCTGCTCCCTGCACAGCTGTGGGGCTGGCTGCTGGGTCTGCGCTTTAGCAGGATCTCCCCTCTTACCCTTCCTTAGCTGTCCTCCTCCCAGCTGGGTGAAGAGTTGCCATGGTTTTTGTTCTCCCAAAATTCATGAGTCCAGTCTCTGTAACGGGATCAAAAGGGTGAAAACGTGACCCAGGTGAGGCTTTTGGGAGTGGATTCTGATTCAGGCCACCCAGGCAGGGCCCCCATGATCGACTCCTGGTGGATTTATCAGTAGGAGAGCCACGCGCTGGAACCCAGACCATGTCTTCTGCCCTCTGCCATGTTGTGATATAACCAGGAGAACCTCATCAGAGGCGGCCCCTGGACCTCGCATCTCCAAATTGTTAGTTCAATAAACATCTATTTTTATAAATTACCCAACCAGTTTTAGGTATTTCCTGTTATGAGCAACAGAATGGATTAAGAGTTCATGTGACTAGGTCCTTTATGCCCCCGGGCCCCAAGTCCACACCTTCCCAAACTCTGCTGAGAACTCCCTAAATGACACTGAGCTTTCTTCAAGGGTCTGCACATGGGCAGCGACATTGCCAATGTCTGTACCTTGTGAGTGATGACGTTGCTCTGGGTTTTCGTACTCCTAGGCCCAAGAAGTGGCCAGGGAGATGGCCTCTGGGAAGCTGGACTGAGCTGCCACCTATGGGTTGGAGCCCTGAGAGAAAAGAGGGGAGGAGGCTGCAGACCCGGGACTGGCCACCAGCTCTCACTGCACTAGCGCATTTAGGTGCAGATCATTCGTGAGCCTGAACCTGGCCTTTCTTCTCATTACAAAGCCATATTCGTCAAGGTAGGAAGACAGAACTTCCTGGACTTAATAATTTGTTAGCTTAGTTTATAACTTTTAACCGTTAGGTATTTGGTTTATGGCTCTCTATTTGTACTCTTGCCCTGGGCCCTGCAAATAATAAAAGTGGGCTGATCTTGGCCTTACGGAAAAAAAATTTTTCCCCACCAACCTATTTCTCTCCATAAGACATAAGTGGGCAGCAAGTACTTCCATGCATAATGCATGTTGGCAAATGACGGCGGCAGGCACTGAGTACGGACTCTGAGCCGGATGATTTATGTCTAGCTTTTCATTCGGTTTTCGCTAAACAACCAGTAAAGTAGGTACTTAGGAGAAAACTGAGATTGGGTGACATTAAACAATTTGTTCCAGGTCACAAAGCTAGTGCTTGAGTTTACCCTTAGTTGCATAACAATCTACCCAAGACTTAAAGTGGCTTAAAACAACACTGGTGGGTTGGCTGGGCTGCTGGTTTCCCCAGGGCTCACTCAGCGTGCACTTAGCTGGAGCCTGGGCTAGGCTGTAAGGTTCCCAGGGGCCTCTCTCTCTTGTCTCACAGCGAGTGCTGCTGCTGCTGAATGATGACTGTCCTTTACTTTGTCGTACGGACCTGCCATTGCAACCTCCTTGCTTTTCTTTCTATCTTTTAGAACTATTTATTTAATTGTATTTATTCATTCATTTATTCTAGTTTGACCAGACAGAGATACATACAGGGGCAGGCAGCGGGAGTGAGAAAATAAGCTACCAGGTCTGGGACTTGAACTGTGGTCAGCCATGTGTGAGTGTCCCACTGGTCCCCGGTCTCCTTGCTTTTCCCACTCTCCCAACCACCTGGCTCAGGGCCCAAGATCTGGTGGTGGTTAATGATACTCAAGGCCCACCCATGGTGGCACAGCTGGTGAAAGGATGCCACTCAGCACCCTCAGTCTACATGGGAAGCCCAGGTTCAAAACCCCTGGTGGTGTGCACCTGCAGTTGCAGCTGCCTAGGAGGCTGCAGGCAGGAAGATTTAGACATAGTGAGACTCTGCCTTTAAAAAAAATGCACTTGGAGGCTGGCAGATGGTGTGGTGGTTAAGGCACCAGACTCCCATGCGGCTGACCCCAGATTGACTCTTGGACCTGGGGACTTGCTTTCTCACTTTCTCTCTCTCGTCAAATTAAAATAAATATTTAAAAAAATGTACTGTAGGCACTTATAAATGATGTGGCCCACGTGATCAATGATGATCTCTATTCCCCACTTGCAAAACGGGGATAACTTTAGTACGGAAATCGCCAGGTTGTCTAATGCAGAACCAGTGGGCTGTGTGGTGGTTAAGACTCCGGACTTCCACATGGCTGATGATGGTTCAAGTCCCAGACTCGGTGGCTTGAAATCACACCAGATGGTGTGTATGCATGCCCACAATCCCAGATGAGAATGGAGGAGAAGAGACCGTTGTGTGGTCTTCACTTTCCCTCTCTCTATCTCTCTCAGGCAAGAGCACGCACCCTGTGGCAAAAATGTTAAAAAAAAATATTCTAGAACAATAATGAGAGAGCACTTGGCATATAACTGGCACTTGGAGTATGCTGTCAGTGTGAACTAAGTGTGACTGGAACATGGATGACCAACGAATGTATGGTGCCTTTTTAAACAGTGGGAATAAAACTTTCAGATACAAGCACGTGGCTTCCAAGGACTGGAGTGGGGAAATCACCTTAAAATACAGGGTTGAAATTCTAAGGCAGTAGCTTTTAAAAAGTGGGAGAGAAAAGCAACACAAAGCAAAGGAACAAACCAATCCTAGTTGCAGGCAGCCATCCGGCTCCCTGCCGGGAGGAGCTTCTTGCTTCCTCCAGAATGCAAAGTGCTGTGTCGGCACGGCCCAAAGTAGGGACACACCTATGGTCCGGGTCACGTGAGCCTAAGGGAGCGCTTGCAAGCTCGCGTTCAGCAGAGCGCCGCCAGCCCCGCGTAAGTGCCACCGCCCGGCCAGGGCCCTGCGGGCGCCGCGGGCCTGCCTCGCCAGGGGCTCCCGGGCGCTGGGGACGCTGGGCGGTTGGTTTCAGGCCGCATCGGGACCTAGACCCGGCAGAGCACTGTGGGGTGAGATGGAGATGGGGTGGTCTTGGCTGCCGTGGAGTTTTCAAGTGGGGTACTGGGGATGCTCTGGGTGCGCTCAGCCAGAGGAGGAACACTCCCCAAGGTCTCAGGCACAACCGGAGGCGGTCGCAGAAGGCCCCTCGAGTCCCGGAGCCCCTCCAAGGGAAGTGAGAAGCTGTGGGGTCCTCCAGCTCTCTCAGTGAGCAGTGGGGTAGGCTTCCCTCACCACTTTTTTTTTTTTTTAGGGTGTTTTGATTTTGTGGGTACCAGGAAGGGTCAAACTGGAAAATGTCTTTGATTTGAAAGCTCTGCAGGCAAGACTTGGTTGAACTTGAAAAGGGAAACCTAGTAGGACGGCTGTTCTTGGAAGGTAGCATTTGGAGAAGAGCAGGGGTGTGGGAGAAGGGGAAAGCAGCGTCCTGCGAAGTGGATTTGGTCCTTGCAGGAGGTCATCTTGGCCAGGGCAGTAGGCTTTCTCATCTGTAGGGATTCAAATCCCAGCTCTGGCCTTTGCCAGTTGGCGACCTTGGGCGAATTATTTAAACGTACTAAACCTCAGTTTCCTCATCTGAAGAAATGATTTAGCAATTCATATGAATCCAGATTATAATAATTAGAAATATTCATTATCTAAATAACTACTACGTTTACTTGCTTAAGCATAGTAGTTTAAGTAATTTGGAGCAATTCATATGAAGCCGGATTGTAATAATTAGAAATGTTCATTACCTGAATAATTACTAAGTTTACTTGCTTAAACTTAGGGTCAAGTAATTTGGAGTAGTTTGGCCAGTTTTCCCTTTTTTCAATTATTACTGACACATAATAAGCATACATAGAGTACAGTGTGATTTTTCAGTACGGGAATATAATGTGCAATGATTAAATCAGTGGTTAGCATATCTATTGTCTCTTTTTTTTTTTAGGTTTCACTGTAGGGCGCGTGAGTTCATCAGAGACAGAGAGAGACAGTGAGAGATAGTGAGAGGGAAAGTGAAAAATCACTCCCAGGGGGATGGCTGTGCCACAGTCTCTTCTCTATTCTCTTCTTGGGATTTTGGACCTGCACACACATACGCCCATTGTAAATTCTCAAGCCACTATGTCCCAGACTCCTACTGTAGAGTTGGCCATGTGGAATCCAGTGCCGTAACCATCATAGCACCTGCTGGCTTTCCATTTTTCTTTTAAAATATGAAATTGTTGCATTTGGAATAAAAACGACATGTAGAAAGTGCCTAGCAAGCCAAGTGCTTGGCTTTTCTGTTTGACTAGTGCTTGATGAGGAAGTCTATGGAGAAGACAGAACGAAACAGCGAACACTGGCCTTGTGATGTAGTGGCTGTCCATGACTCATGTACACGTGCTCTTAATCCTCTACCTCCCCTGCAACCCCAGAAGGCTCTAGTGAAGGTGCTTGGGTTTTGGAGTTAGGCAATTTTGTACTGAAGCTCTGGTTCCAGTACCCAGCACTTAGGTGCCCTTAGGGATCTTATTTTTCTCCCCTTCCTCAGTTTCCCCATCTGTAAATGGCAAAAGAGGCAGTTGGTACTTGTTTTTCTTCTCTCCTTAAATGTGCAACTACTTTTTACTTTTTTTTGGTATGGGATGAGTAAGAATAGACATGTAAGGAGAGTTTAAAAAAATACAAAGATAATACACTTCTTAATTTGAAAAATGAATTTTGAGAAAGTTGTCCAGGGGCCCACAGGTGGCATGGTGGTTAAGGTGCTGGACTCCCACATATCTGACCTGAATACAAGTCCAAGACCTGATAGCTTAAAAATTCTACTGGGCACATGTGTGTGCGTGTCCAGAATCCCAGGGGGAGAAGGCATGGGGCGTGGCCATCCTCCTGGTGGGGGGGTGATTTCTCACTGTCCCTCTCACTGTCTCTCTCTGTGTCTCATAAGTGCACATGCCCTATGGCAAAACAAAAACAAAAACAAAATTAAAAAAAAAAAAGTTGTTCAAAATGAGACTCAGAACACCCTTGGAAAAGTGTATTAGACTGGCTTTGTTGGCATGTGAAATCCCATACGGTAGCTGGTCAAACTTTCTAGATATGTACGTGAGGTATAGTGGACACTCTTTGTAAGGAGTCAGTGTTCTTTGCAAGAAGCTGCTTTGTCTTTTATAGGAATTGATTGTTTGGGAGGGGCATATTTGGCCCCAGAATTTATGCGAATTCACATTATCAATCAATTACTCTGGGATTCTGCTAGACTGATTTTATAGCCTCAGAAATTAGTGGGCTTTACTGACAGTTTGAATGACTTAGAAGTATGTTCAGAAAATCCACAGTTTGCCATTTACTCCCCACAAAAGAAGTAAAAATAAGTAAAAGCCAGAAGTAAACAACAGAGCAGTATTTTGTTAAGGAATTGGTCTTTGTTTTGGAAAGCACATGATTTATCAGAGAAAAACAAAGTGTTGTATCCTACCCGGAAATACACAAGGCTTAATTCCTGTCTCAGACAGCATCAGATACCTAATTATTAGCACTCAAATACCAAGGTTCATAGGTAATGATAGGTATTAGCTCATTCTCAACAGGAAGGATGGAAGGGCCAGCAGGTGGGGTAGTGGTTAAGGCCCTGGGCTCCCACATGGCCAACTTGGGCTCTAATTCTGGACCCAGCGGCTTGAAACTCACACCAGGTGCATGGGTGTGCATGGCCCAAATCTCGAGAGGAGGATGGAAGAGAAAGGATTGCAGGATCACCCTGAGGGTGGGTTTTCCACTCACTCTCTCTCTGTCAAGTGCACGAGTCCTATAACAAAAATCTCTCTCTCTCTAAAAACAAAAAAACAACAAAAAAACTATGGTTCATTTTAAAGAACAAACAGGAGTATTTCACTTTAACATTTCCAAAGGTTTTTTGTTTTGTTTTGTTTTGTTTTGATTTGTTTTATTTTAAACAGGATCTTGCAGTTGCAATCCTCCTGCTTCAGCTTCCTTAGTAGCTAGGGTTATAGACCCATGTCACCTTGCCCAGCCTTTAGACTGGACTGGAAATTGAACCCCAGCTCCCAAGTGACCCCAGCCTCTGGAGCATAGCTTCTTAGCTACATATGCCACCATGGCTGGGCCTCCAGTGGTTTTATAATGTGGGGTTTTCATGACTGAATTAAAAACACTTAAAAGAATTTAGATACGGAAGCTTTTCATGATTAGAAAGTTGCTTCTTGAATGACAACTCATTTGGGCCCAGCAGTTAGTGTAATGGCTATGTTGCTGGACTCCCATGTTGTCGATCATGGTTCGAGTCCCAGACCCGGTGGCTTAAACTCACACTGGGTGCGTGTGCGTGTATGCCCATGATTTCGAGAGGAGAATGTAGGAGAAGGGATTGCGGTGTGGCCATCCCCCCTGGGGTGTGATTTCTCGCTTTCTGCTTTTTCTCTCTGGAAAGCTCACATGCTCGTTAGCAAAAACCTCTCCCCCCCCAGAAAAAAAAAAAAGAATAACAACTCATTAATACCTATATTGCCTTGGGAGAGCAGTAAGCTGGACAGAAAGCTAAGAACTTAACTTTCCTGGTCAAAACCAGGAATGGAGTTTGAATTTTTTTGCCATGTGTGCAGGTTTAAAGATTTAAGTACTAAAATAGTCTCACTTCACAAGATGGTAGTCAGATGCTTTCTTCTTAAAAATCTGTGCACCTAAGCAAAACTGAACGGAAACCAGGGTGTTGTTATTTCTCTCTCCTCGGAGATATTGCAGGTATAGCCTTGAACTCAGAATCACATGCTTTTCTTTTATTGCTTTAACTCAGAAACTGGAGTGTAAGGTGGGGGTGGGAGAAGGGGGGGAGACTATGGCTTTAGATCTATAAGCTGAAAAAGCAAATTCTTAGCATCTTATCTTTCCAATACAGTTGGGGCTTATCTTAACCTTTTCTGTGTATTCCGATTCTAGTTAGAGGTTGTCTTTAAATTGCTTAAGGTTGTTATTAGCCAAAATATTTACACTTTTATTTAGGCATCCTGGAGCTAGCTCTTCCTTCTTTTCTTTTTGTGACGCCACATCCTACTCTTGGCACAACTTGCTGAACTTGTGTGTTTCTCTGGGGGAGGAGCCCAGCTCCCAAGAGATTTGTTGTCTTGTTCATTTATTCATTTGACGAATACTTTTCTCAATATTTGATTAGGAAAATGTTCAAACATTCAGAAAAGTTGAAAGACTTACAGTGTATACCTCTCCACCACCTAGATTCTGTTATTGTTCAACCGGTATTAGTTCCTACTAATGCCTAGGCCTGTGCTTCACACAGCTGTGAAAGCATACAAGGTAGGGTAAAATGAGGGAATGAAGGAGGCTCTGGTTAGGCTGGAGTTTGTGAAGGGGTAGATGGTTTTGGAAAGTTGTGCTGCAGTAACACTGTGGAGGATGCTGAATTTCATCGTAAGAACTTTATCCTGGCAGCAGTCAGGAGCCATCAAAGGCATTTGAGAAGGAGAGTGGTGTGTGTGTGCGTATGTGTGTTTTGAATTGCCAGAAAGTGCCTCCACTGGCCAGAGAGACAGAGAGAACAAGGGAGAAAGAACCCACATTTCTCCACCCTGTTGGAATTTGGGGCACCACATGCACACACGTGCTTGGCATGTTTCTCAAGCTGTGAGTGGTAGGATTTGAACCATAGCTGGCCTTCTGGGCTATGGCCCCTTTATCTACTAAGCTATGGGGCTGGCCCTTGTGCTGTAAAAAGCTCATTCCAGTATCTGTGTTAGGCTAAATGCCAGAGAAGAGGACCTGAAGTCTGATGTGTTAGGAGGCTTTACAAATGTCCTGGGCAAGTAAGAGTTGAACTGTTAATGGAATGGATTGCAGAGAGGGGCCAGCAGGTGCCATGGTGGTTGAGGCACTGGACTCCCACATGGCTGCCTGTGGTTTGAGTTTCGGACTGGTCGCTTGGAAAACACACTGGGTGTGTGTGTGTATAAGCCCAGAATCTCAGGAGGAGACTGGAGGAGAAGGGATTGTGGCATAGCCATCCACC